TCCTGTACTGACCCCTCACACAGCGCTGTCACCGCACCCCCATCCCGTCCTGTATATTCCTGTACAGACCCCTCACACAGCACTGTCACCGCACCCCCATTCTGTATATCTATATTCCTGTACTGACCCCTCACACAGCGCTGTCACCGCACCCCCATCCTGTATATCTATATTCCTGTACTGACCCCTCACACAGCGCTGTCACCGCACCTCCATCCCGTCCTGTATATCTATATTCCTGTACTGACCCCTCACACAGCGCTGTCACCGCACCTCCATCCCGTCCTGTATATCTATATTCCTGTACTGACCCCTCACATAGCGCTGTCACCGCACCCCCATCCCGTCCTGTATATCTATATTCCTGTACTGACCCCTCACACAGCGCTGTCACCGCACCTCCATCCCGTCCTGTATATCTATATTCCTGTACTGACCCCTCGCACAGCGCTGTCACCGCACCTCCATCCCATCCTGTATATTCCTGTACTGACCCCTCACACAGCGCTGTCACCGCACCCCCATCCCGTCCTGTATATTCCTGTACAGACCCCTCACACAGCACTGTCACCGCACCCCCATTCTGTATATCTATATTCCTGTACTGACCCCTCACACAGCGCTGTCACCGCACCCCCATCCTGTATATCTATATTCCTGTACTGACCCCTCACACAGCGCTGTCACCGCACCCCCATCCCGTCCTGTATATCTATATTCCTGTACTGACCCCTCGCACAGCGCTGTCACCGCACCCCCATCCCGTCCTGTATATCTATATTCCTGTACTGACCCCTCACACAGCGCTGTCACCGCACCTCCATCCCGTCCTGTATATCTATATTCCTGTACTGACCCCTCATACAGCGCTGTCACCGCACCCCCATCCCGTCCTGTATGTCTATATTCCTGTACTGACCCCCTCGCACAGCGCTGTCACCGCACCCCCATCCCGTCCTGTATATCTATATTCCTGTACTGACCCCTCGCACAGCGCTGTCACCGCACCTCCATCCCGTCCTGTATATCTATATTCCTGTACTGACCCCTCACACAGCGCTGTCACCGCACCTCCATCCCGTCCTGTATATCTATATTCCTGTACTGACCCCTCACACAGCGCTGTCACCGCACCTCCATCCCATCCTGTATATTCCTGTACTGACCCCTCACACAGCGCTGTCACCGCACCCCCATCCTGTCCTGTATATCTATATTCCTGTACTGACCCCTCACACAGCGCTGTCACCGCACCTCCATCCCGTCCTGTATATTACTGTACTGACCCCTCACACAGCGCTGTCACCGCACCCCCATCCTGTCCTGTATATCTATATTCCTGTACTGACCCCTCACACAGCGCTGTCACCGCACCCCACCATCCCGTCCTGTATATCTATATTCCTGTACTGACCCCTCGCACAGCGCTGTCACCGCACCTCCATCCCGTCCTGTATATCTATATTCCTGTACTGACCCCTCACACAGCGCTGTCACTGCACCTCCATCCCGTCCTGTATATTTATATTCCTGTACTGACCCCTCACACAGTGCTGTCACCGCACCCCCATCCCGTCCTGTATATCTATATTCCTGTACTGACCCCTCGCACAGCGCTGTCACCGCACCTCCATCCCATCCCGTATATCTATATTCCTGTACTGACCCCTCACACAGCGCTGTCACTGCACCTCCATCCCGTCCTGTATATCTATATTCCTGTACTGAACCCTCACACAGCGCTGTCACCGCACCTCCATCCCGTCCTGTATATCTATATTCCTGTACTGACCCCTCACACAGCGCTGTCACCGCACCCCCATCCCGTCCCCGTATATCTATATTCCTGTACTGACCCCTCACACAGCGCTGTCACCGCACCTCCATCCCGTCCCGTATATCTATATTACTGTACTGACCCTCGCACAGCGCTGTCACCGCACCTCCATCCCGTCCTGTATATCTATATTCCTGTACTGACCCCCCTCACACAGCGCTGTCACCGCACCTCCATCCCATCCTGTATATCTATATTCCTGTACTGACCCCTCACACAGCGCTGTCACCTCACCTCCATCCCGTCCTGTATATCTATATTCCTGTACTGACCCCTCACACAGCGCTGTCACCTCACCTCCATCCCATCCTGTATATCTATATTCCTGTACTGACCCCTCACACAGCGCTGTCACCTCACCTCCATCCCGTCCTGTATATCTATATTCCTGTACTGACCCCTCACACAGCGCTGTCACCGCACCTCCATCCCATCCTGTATATTCCTGTACTGACCCCTCACACAGCGCTGTCACCGCACCTCCATCCCATCCTGTATATCTATATTCCTGTACTGACCCCTCACACAGCGCTGTCACCGCACCTCCATCCCGTCCTGTATATCTATATTCCTGTACTGACCCCTCACACAGCGCTGTCACCACGGACCTCCATCCCGTCCTGTATATCTATATTCCTGTGCTGACCCCTCGCACAGCGCACCCACCGCACCCCCATCCCGTCCTGTATATTCCTGTACTGACCCCTCGCACAGCGCTGTCACCCGCATCCCCATCCCGTCCTGTATATCTATATTCCTGTACTGACCCCTCACACAGCGCTGTCACCGCACCTCCATCCCGTCCTGTATATCTATATTCCTGTACTGACCCCCCTCGCACAGCGCTGTCACCGCACCTCCATCACGTCCTGTATATCTATATTCCTGTACTGACCCCTCACACAGCGCTGTCACCGCACCCCCATCCCGTCCTGTATATCTATATTCCTGTACTGACCCCTCACAGAGCTGTCACCGCACCTCCATCCCATCCTGTATATCTATATTCCTGTACTGACCCCTCACACAGCGCTGTCACCGCACCTCCATCCCATCCTGTATATTCCTGTACTGACCCCTCACACAGCGCTGTGTCACCGCACCCCCATCCCGTCCTGTATATTCCTGTACTGACCCCTCACACAGCGCTGTCACCGCACCCCCATCCCGTCCTGTATATCTATATTCCTGTACTGACCCCTCGCACAGCGCTGTCACCGCACCTCCATCCCGTCCTGTATATCTATATTCCTGTACTGACCCCCTCGCACAGCGCTGTCACCGCACCCCATCACGCCCTGTATATCTATATTCCTGTACTGACTGACCCTCACACAGCGCTGTCACCGCACCCCCATCCCGTCCTGTATATCTATATTCCTGTACTGACCCCTCACACAGCGCTGTCACCGCACCTCCATCCCGTCCTGTATATCTATATTCCTGTACTGACCCCTCGCACAGCGCTGTCACCGCACCCCCATCCCGTCCTGTATATCTATATTCCTGTACTGACCCCTCACACAGCGCTGTCACCGCACCCCCATCCCGTCCTGTATATCTATATTCCTGTACTGACCCCCCTCACACAGCGCTGTCACCGCCCCTCCATCCCGTCCTGTATATCTATATTCCTGTACTGACCCCTCACACAGCGCTGTCACCGCACCCCATCCCATCCTGTATATCTATATTCCTGTACTGACCCCTCACACAGCGCTGTCACCGCACCCCCATCCCGTCCTGTATATCTATATTCCTGTACTGACCCCTCACACAGCGCTGTCACCGCACCTCCATCCCGTCCTGTATATCTATATTCCTGTACTGACCCCTCGCACAGCGCTGTCACCGGACCTCCATCCCGTCCTGTATATCTATATTCCTGTGCTGACCCCTCGCACAGCGCTGTCACCGCACCCCCATCCCGTCCTGTATATTCCTGTACTGACCCCTCACACAGCGCTGTCACCGCACCTCCATCCCGTCCTGTATATCTATATTCCTGTACTGACCCCTCACACAGCGCTGTCACCCCGCACCTCCATCCCGTCCTGTATATCTATATTCCTGTACTGACCCCTCGCACAGCGCTGTCACCGCACCTCCATCACGTCCTGTATATCTATATTCCTGTACTGACCCCTCACACAGCGCTGTCACCGCACCCCCATCCCGTCCTGTATATCTATATTCCTGTACTGACCCCTCACACAGCGCTGTCACCGCACCCTCCATCCCGTCCTGTATATCTATATTCCTGTACTGACCCCTCTCACACAGCGCTGTCACCGCACCTCCATCCAATCCTGTATATCTATATTCCTGTACTGACCCCTCACACAGCGCTGTCACCGCACCTCCATCCCATCCTGTATATCTATATTCCTGTACTGACCCCTCGCACAGCGCTGTCACCGCACCCCCCATCCCGTCCTGTATATTTATATTCCTGTACTGACCCCTCACACAGCGCTGTCACCGCACCTCCATCCCATCCTGTATATCTATATTCCTGTACTGACCCCTCACACAGCGCTGTCACCGCACCTCCATCCCGTCCTGTATATCTATATTCCTGTACTGACCCCTCACACAGCGCTGTCACCGCACCTCCATCCCGTCCTGTATATCTATATTCTGTACTGACCCCTCACACAGCGCTGTCACCGCACCTCCATCCCGTCCTGTATATCTATATTCCTGTACTGACCCCTCACACAGCGCTGTCACCGCACCCCCATCCCGTCCTGTATATCTATATTCCTGTACTGACCCCCTCACACAGCGCTGTCACCGCACCTCCATCCCATCCTGTATATCTATATTCCTGTACTGACCCCTCGCACAGCGCTGTCAACCGCACCTCCATCCCGTCCTGTATATCTATATTCCTGTACTGACCCCTCACACAGCGCTGTCACCGCACCCCCATCCCGTCCTGTATATCTATATTCCTGTACTGACCCCTCACACAGCGCTGTCACCGCACCCCCATCCCGTCGTGTATATCTATATTCCTGTACTGACCCCCCTCACACAGCGCTGTCACCGCACCTCCATCCCGTCCTGTATATCTATATTCCTGTACTGACCCCTCACACAGTGCTGTCACCCGCACCTCCATCCCGTCCTGTATATCTATATTCCTGTACTGACCCCTCACACAGTGCTGTCACCGCACCTCCATCCAATCCTGTATATCTATATTCCTGTACTGACCCCTCACACAGCGCTGTCACCGCACCTCCATCCCGTCCTGTATATCTATATTCCTGTACTGACCCCTCGCACAGCGCTGTCACCGCACCCCCATCCCATCCTGTATATCTATATTCCTGTACTGACCCCTCACACAGCGCTGTCACCGCACCTCCATCCCGTCCTGTATATCTATATTCCTGTACTGACCCCTCACACAGCGCTGTCACCGCACCTCCATCCCGTCCTGTATATCTATATTCCTGTACTGACCCCTCGCACAGCGCTGTCACCGGACCTCCATCCCGTCCTGTATATCTATATTCCTGTGCTGACCCCTCGCACAGCGCTGTCACCGCACCCCCATCCCGTCCTGTATATTCCTGTACTGACCCCTCACACAGCGCTGTCACCGCACCTCCATCCCGTCCTGTATATCTATATTCCTGTACTGACCCCTCACACAGCGCTGTCACCGCACCTCCATCCCGTCCTGTATATCTATATTCCTGTACTGACCCCTCGCACAGCGCTGTCACCGCACCCCCATCCCGTCCTGTATATCTATATTCCTGTACTGACCCCTCACACAGCGCTGTCACCGCACCCCCATCCCGTCCTGTATATCTATATTCCTGTACTGACCCCTCACACAGCGCTGTCACCGCACCTCCATCCCGTCCTGTATATCTATATTCCTGTACTGACCCCTCACACAGCACTGTCATTGCACCTCCATCTTGTCCTGTATTTTTCTACTATTACAATACAAATTCATGGACTTTCTACTTTCGCTCAGGACCTGGTAAAAACTCACCTCCTGTTTGCCGTACGCGAGGAAGTAGAGGCTCTAAAAGAGCAAATTAAGGACCTTACAGAACGGAACAGCCATTTGGAACATGAAAATAATCTTTTGAGGACGCTCGCTACGCCGCAGCAGCTGTCGGAACTCAGCGTCCGGATGAAGGCTTTAAGGAAAGGAGTGTGAGTTGACCACGATGGAAGCGATTGGTGGCCTCCATACCATTTTCCGATCACGTCGGAGGTAGAAGATAGTAGGGGGGGGGGGGGAAGCCCCTTCTACTACAGCTACCTAAGTACGGAGGAGAGCAATGCATACCGAGCAATGACCCCTCCATGCCCCCCCCCGGTGTGGGTCTCTATTGTAGGGGGGATGCCAATGGATGTAATGAATTTTGCAATAAGTGACTAGACTTTACTTACCCAAATTCTGCCAGCACCAGTTTACTAATCGCCTCGTATTGGAAATGGATTTGCTGTTCAGAAATCTGCAGCCTGCTGGTGCCTTAATGGAAGAGATGAGCAAATGCACGAATCACCCCCCCCCCCCCCCAAATCACTTGCCATTACATTCATAATCAGAGGGTTTCTTTTAGAAGGATGGGTCCCCACGGTCCTTCTACTGTTATTAAGGGGTGTGATTATAAAAAAATTCACAGAGATATTCTTGTTGGAAAATTGCGTGTACATTTATTTTGTGTTAGTGGCCACAAAATTGGATATTATTAGGCTATTTTCTCTCCAGGTTGAATGTTATTCAGTCATAAGAAAAAGAGAGAGTGGTTCAGGAAAAATACCAGGTAATGCCACTAGATGGAGCTGGTGGTCATCGGAAATATGAATTAATTAACTCGGCTCATCAGCTCCATCTAGTGGACCTGATGATCATTGGACTATTTTCTCTCCAGGTTGAATGCTATTCATTCATAAGAAAATGGAGTCATTCGGAAAAATATCACATAATGCCACTGGATGGAGCTGGTGGTCATGAGAAATATGCATTTATTAACACTTCATTTATTTTCTCTCCAGGTTGAATGCTATTCAGTCATAAAAAAACAGAGTTGTTCAGGAAAATACCGCATAATGCCACTAGATGGAACTGATGGTCTTAGGAAATATGTATTTTTTTCCTATGATCATCGGCGCCATCTAGTGACCATATTGAAGCATATTCCTCATCCACTCTATTCTGTGTGAATGAATAATGTTCAACCTGGAGAGAAAATATTCACTCGATTTTGCCCTTACTCACGCAGAATGAATGTACTCACAGTTTCACAGGATGAATAGCTCCTGAATTTTTCTTCTAAATACACTCCTAGTTGTTCTTGGGACATAGATGTACAGCTACAAAATTCATCTGTATTGCCATCTGCTGGTGAAATCTTGTATTGCAGGGAGACCATGAAATTGGCTCTTTATGGAACCTACAGTCCAGAGGTCAGTCCTCCCAAGTCATATTAGGAGCAGGATGGGGAGAAGGTGATTTCAGAAGTAAGGACCAGTTTCTATTATGGCATAGAAGGGTCCAAACGAGGGATGTAGGTGTGATCAACCAGAGGATATGAAGAAATTAAAGCGGAGATCCGGTTTCCAAAAAATAAATACTGTATCTGCTGACTTTTAATATAAAGGACACTTACCTGTCCAGTCATCCAGCGATGTCCGCACCCTAGCTGGTTTCCTTAATCGGCTTCGGATGCTGGTGCCGGCATCTTTACATAGCGGACGTGATTGGCTGCACAGTTTTCTGGGACCTCTGATGTGTCCCAGAAGGCTACAGGGGGAAGGAGGAGGGGCCAAAGATTGCCGCGGTGAACTCAGCCAGAAATGGGATCTGTCCCCACCCCCCCCCCAAAATGTGCCAAATGTGGCAGTGGAAGGGGGAAGATGCCATCAAGCGAAACTTCCCCTTTTGGGTGGAATTCCGCTTTAAGTACAAGGGCTCTGTGCTGTATATAAAGAGGAAAAAAGAGAATTCTATCACAAAAGTCAATTAAAAAAAAGAAAGCAGTCTGTTCAAATGTGAGGGAACATCCGTGATAGCAGTTGGTCCTGTTGTTCCTTGTGGTCAAGGGTATGCCACAACTGTAGAAAACATAAGAAAGCAAGAGAAGGGAGCATAGACGTAATGCATTAAAGGGCAATTCAACTAACCCACTGCCATAAAACATGTATGCGTTGGCCTGCATGCACATGTGCATCCATGGAGTTACAAGATTGAGATGTGAGAACACGTGCACTGCACATTCCCAGCACACTGACTGATGGCTCCTGGTCTCCATTTGTGAGAGTCAGCAGGACGTACTCCTGGTCATGTGTCTACTATGAGAGCCACCTCCATCTCCCAAGGGCAGCACCCAGTTAAAGGGCAGGAAGGGGTTAATACAAGCAGTAAATGAGTCACAACCCTCCCAGGAGCAGCGCGCCTCCTTCCAACCCACCCAGGAGCAGTGTGCCTCTTTCCATTCCTCCTAGGAGCAGCACATCTCCTTCCAACCCACCCAGGGGCAGCTGGCCTCCTTCCAACCCACCCAGGAGCAGCGCGCCTCCTTCCAACTCACCCAGGAGCAGTGCGCCTCTTTCCATTCCTCCTAGGAGCAGGGCGGCTCCTTCCAATCACCCAGGGGCAGCTGGCCTCCTTCCAACCCACCTAGGAGCAGGGCGGCTCCTTCCAACCCACACAAGAGTAGTATGCCTCCTTAAAACCCACTAAGGAGCAGCGTGCCTCCTACCTTTCCTCCCAGGAGCAGCACACCTCCTTCCAACCCACTCATGAGCAGCGGGCATATTTCCAACCCACCTAGGAACAGGGCGCTTCCTCCCAACCCACCTAGGAGCTGCACGCCTCCTTTCAACCCTCCCAGGAGCAGTATGCCTCCTTCCATTCCTCCCAGGAGCAGCACGCCTCCTTCCAACAGACCCAGGAGCAGCAGGCCTCCTTTCAACCCACTAAGAAGCAGGGCACCTCCTTTCAACCCACCTAGGAGCTGCACGCCTCCTTTCAACCCTCCCAGGAGCAGTATGCCTCCTTCCATTCCTCCCAGGAGCAGCATGCCTCTTTCCAACAGACCCAGGAGCAGCAGGCTTCCTTTCAACCCACTCAGAAGCAGGGCACCTCCTTTCAACCCACCTAGGAGCTGCACGCCTCCTTTCAACCCTTCCAGGAGCAGTATGCCTCCTTCCATTCCTCCCAGGAGCAGCACGCCTCCTTCCAACAAACCCAGGAGCAGCAGGCCTCCTTTCAACCCACTAAGAAGCAGGGCACCTCCTTTCAACCCACCTAGGAGCAGCACGCCTTCTTCCAACCCAACCAGGAGCAGTGTTCCTCCTTTCAATCCACTCAAGAGCAGTGTTCCTCCTTCCAACCCACCCAGGAGCAGTGTTCCTACTTCTAACCCACCCAGGAGCAGTGTGCCTCTTTCTAAGGTGCTTCCTAAAATGCCAGGTGATTCATACAGGTGGCCACCATTAGCTTCGATGTGCGGTTTGCAGCTGTTGTACCATGGGCCTTAGTTGCACTGCTTCAAGATCATCCTCTGCAAGCTGTGTACTGCTTTTATACATTATTAATTTTGTTTTTTAATATGTTAGGTCTGTGCGCACTTCTCTTGCTTTCTTATCATAACCAACCAGAGCATCAGATGTCAGTTTCATTTTCCAGATGGTTCCTTTCTCTCGTCTCTAGCAGATGATATCATCAAGATCCAATGAATGACATCCTCTGTTATGTCTGGATCCTGTTTTTTTTCCTCCTGCTAAATCATAGCTGCCAGTACAGCGCAAGCCAACAGGCTGCATTCTCGAGAACAGCAGCCAAACTCAGAAAATGTTGTAACATTGCTGGTTGATGAGTCTAATGTCAAGTTCACTTGTAGCTTTGGATAATGGAGGAGGACAGAAGAGGCAACTACTGACCCTGTTGTTCTAATAACGAAGGTCTTAGAGTATTTTCGAAAGTTGATGAAGTGTGCACAAAGCCCAATCTTTTAAGTTTTGAATACTGGTGAAGAGTCTTGGTGACCATCGTCGAGGGAAAATTACAAAAGCGGTAATGTTTTTCTAATCTTCTTATGGAAACACCTGTTCTGAGAGGACTTCCCCCAAATTTGGGGAGATTTCCTTTGGCTTGTTGTATCTACAAGATGGGAAAGTAAGAGAAATCTCCTTAATGGACACAGGTGGCTACAAAAACCCAACAGTGTCAGATGTTGGGTTTATTTTCCAGATGGTTCCATTCTGTTGACTCTAGCAGAAGATGTCATCAAGACCTAATGAATGGCATCCTCTCTTATGTCTGGATCCCATTTTTTCCTCCTGCTTAATCATAGCAAACCAACAGGCTGCATTCTCATGAATTTCAGCCAAACCTAGAAAATGTATTGTCTTTGCTGGTTGGTGGGTCTACTATGAAGGCCACCTGTAGCTTTGGATAACGGACAAAGACAGCACAGGCAACTACTGACCCTGTCGTTCTAATAACGAAGGTCTTAAGAGTATTTTGGAGGTTGATGTTGAAGTGTGCATAAAGCACAATCTTTTTTTTTAAGTTTTGTATACTAGTGAAGCGTTAGGATATCTTTCACCATTTGTCTTGGTGACCATCGTCACTGGGACTGAAAATTACAAAACTGAAATGTTTTTCTAATTTTTCCATTGGGGACACTTGTTCTGAGGGATCTTCCCAGCTTTGGAGAGATTTCCTCCCAGTAGTTGTATCTACAGAATGGGAAGTTAAGAGAAATCTCCATAAGGGGACACGGATGACCAAAAAACCCAACAGTGGTTGTAACCCTTCTCTATTCTTTCCAGAGTGGATAAAAAAATTGGCTTTAGATACCATTTAAGTCTTTATTCCAGAAAGGCTGTACATTTAAAGCCCAGCTCCAGGCACAATAAAGCAGGTTTACATGCTGTTGCCACAAAAGCGACCCCCTGCCAAGTTGGCTTTAGTCTACTTTTATCAAATCTGCTCATTTATATGTCAGGATTAGTGGAGCTCCAGCTGTATCACTGGCCCGCTTTGATGTAAGCACCGCAGATCTAGTAGACCCCAACATTATGGTTGCGTGTCCCCCAGTCTCCCTCTCTTTCTGGCCATTCGCAAAACACACAGCCCCAGGCTTCAGTCTGTGAAAAGCCAAGAGTAGAGGGGGTGAAGAAGCAACCTCAGTGTTGGGGTCT